CTCAGCGGCTTATTTAACGCTGCTGCAGCCGGGAGGGCTCCGGCTGGGCTGGGGAGGGGGCAAAGCAAATGATTTTACACCTGGCAGCACCGCAGGATCTGCAGCGGGGCAGAGGATCCAAACCGGGTGCCAAATCCTGGCGTTTTGGAGATGGGTGCATCCAGAGCAGGGCTGAGGGTGCTTGTCCCAGATTCCCATCTCAGGGCTGCTCCCACACATACCTGCAGTATGTTGGGGTGTAGGGGGGTCTCAGCTGTCTCCCGTGGGGCTGGGGGTGCAGGGGGTTGTCCCTGGGGCACCGGTTTTCCCTTGGCACAGCTGTGCATGGTGGTGCAGAGCCTGAGAAATTTCCCTCTCCTCCGGAGCGATTACTCCTGACATTTGGGTTTATTTGCATGTGGGTGGGTGGGCGGAGGCGATGGCAGCAGCTGAATCAATTTTGACTCGGGAGCTGCTGAGCTGCTTCAGCCTCCATAAACAGCTTGGAGACGGCAGGGACAGGGACAAGGACCACCCCGGGTCCGGGTCGGTGACCGGCGGCACCAATGGGAGCATCCGTGTCCTGCACCGACTTTAATTGCAGCAGCACCCCTGGGCTGACCCCAGCTGCGTGGCAGTGCCGAGCCACAGCCGTGTAATTGTGCAGCCTGACCCCGGCTCCCCCCTTTGACACTCACCTCCGGTGCTTTATTAAAGTAATAACGCTGTGACAGAGGGCGGGGGAGGCTCAGCACCCCGGGAGGCCTGAGAAAAAGTTACCTCTTCACATGCTGTTGTTTCTGGAAGTCTTTGCAAGTGCCCCATGCTCCACCTGATGCCCCTGAGGCTCCATCGCTGCCCAGCTGGGGCGAAATCCCTGGGATCAGCATCCTGTCCCCATAAGTGATGGTGCCACGATGGTTCTGGCCCCCTCAGCATCATTTTCCACGTACAGTGTGTATTAGGAAGTGGTAGGAAAGCTGAAGGATGCGGAAGAAAAGGCTGTGCCAGTGGGACGAAGGCTGTGGTAATGTTAAGTGACAGCTTCCAGCTTCACGGGCACCTGTTGTGCCAAGGACACTGGCGGGGACGGCTTCACTCGGAGCCTGATCATCCCCCCCGGAGGGGTCCTGGCAGGGGCATTGAGCGGACATGGATGCGTTTACACACAGGCTGGGATAAGCTGAAGGCAGCGGGTGAGACGAGCCTGAAGGAACACGTGCTGTTCCCAAAAGATGTGATTTGTGTGTTGCTATGAACGCGGATGAGACATTTCTGCTGGTGGGGACAGGCAGGAGCAGGGGGTCCCTGGGCTGGGTAGTGCCGCCGGCTGTGGTGTCTGCAGGCTGTGGCACAGCATCGGCACTTCCCGGCTCCCGTGATGTTCCGAGTTTGTCTTGTCTGTGGCTGAACCCGCAGATGGTCTCCGTGCTGTGATGGGGGCTCAGAGGGACACCACGGGGGTCTGGGCCATGACTACCGAAAACTTGACCATCACTGTGGTGGCAGCGATGGTCGAGCATCTCCCCAGGCTGTGGTTGGGTTTGGAGCCCACCGGAGTTCGGTGGGGGCTGGCATCGGGGACTGCAGGGACAGGGAGCAAAGCCACTAAGGCCATGGCAGGCACAGGCTGGTGCTCCTGCTCTTCTCTGTTTTTAACCCATTTTTCTGGGCTGGTGCCTTTGCAGGAGCCTGTCCCTGCCCCACGAGCTCAGCGTGACCAGGGAGAGGCAGAGAGCGGGGGAGATAAATATTTTAGCCTTGCCTCTAAAGAAGGGAAGGAAATCCTTTTTGCTTAAGAGGGGGTGATGCATATTTGATGAGGAGGAAAAGAGCAGCGAGGCAGGGCTGGGTGCAGGGCAGGCAGGGCTGGGAGCCACCAGTGCATGCAGCATCCCGGTGCGGGGGGCAAGCAGCTCCCGCATCCCTGCCTGCGACTGGAGAGGTGAATGCATGCCCAAAGCACAAGGAGGGACCATGCAAGAGATGATGAGGATGGAGCAGGAAATCCAGGAGGACGCAGGACCTCCAGCGCCCTCCAGCCCTCCCGATACGGATTCCAGCCCTTTAGGGCCAAGCCTGGTGGGCAATAGGGCACCGAGGGCTACTCCAGTGCCTGGGGTGGTCACCGAGGCTCAGCCATCAGAGACGTGGTCCAGATGCTTCCCTAGGCACCACTCAAGCAATTGGGCTATTTACAACCAAGGGTCAAAGCCGATTAAGAGGGAGCATCGGTGCTGTCCCTGCCGCCATTCACATGCAGCAGCGCCAGAGCTGATACTGGCCGGGGAAAATCAGCTTTGGGCCCCGATCCAGCCGCGCCATCCCCCTCTTCCAGCAATCCCAAAGAAAGCCCCTTTAAACGGGCTTAACCGCAGCTTCTCAAGTGCTCAACGCAGGGATAAAAATTAAGGCTCTAATTCTAGAAGGTAAGTACAGCAGGATCAGAGCTGTGCCGTGAGGAGGAGCATGCTGGATCCTGCACCAGGCATCCTCAGCCCCAAAAATGCCCGTTTGGTGAAGGGCAAACCAGCGTGAAGCTCAGGAGCTGGGTCTCCCCCATGTGCTGGGATGAAACACTGCACAGGCGTGGGATGAGGATGCGAAGGAGCATCCCTATGGTGGAGCAAAGCATGGCAACTTCTTGGCTGGTGCAGGGACTCAGCGGTGGTCCCTGAGGCTGGGATGCTGGAATTGGGGTGAATTGACTTGGAAGCTGAGCCCATCCCCAAACCAGGGTGCTCGGGCCCCTTGGCCGCCAGCACATGGAGTGGCTCTTCCTAAATCACCGAGCGCCCCAGCCGCATGGGTGGCAGTGGGTGACAATCAGGCAGGCTGGCTCAGCCAAGTTTAATGCAATTAATCCAGGGCTGGAGGCTTAATTAAGTTCAAATGGTCGGACATGGAGCGGCATTTTCTGGATCGTTGTCAATAAATCAAACCTGAAACTACGGATAAAAGGGGATGAAACGCACAGGGCACGACATGCCATTGAGCAGATAGGAGAGGAAAAGGGAAAGGCTCTGAGGAGAAAAGCCACGCTGAGCCCCAGGGATCTGGCCAGGATCTGGGGGCTCTGCTGGAGCCACAGCAATCAGGACCCCACAGTTAATTTCTCTGAGATAACTAACGAGGCCATCACAGGAACGATGGTTGATAACGGGGCAGCTGCCCAGCAGAGAGTGGGGACCCAGGAGGGGGAAATCAGCTGCTTGGTGTTACAGGGTGCTGAGCATCCCGCATTTGCAGGATGGCTTGGACTGACCTGGGCTGCACAGGCTGCAGGGATGGACACGAATCATGCTGTCTGTCTGTCTGTCCAGCCACCCTTCCCTCCCCACGTGCAGTGGCAGAGCCAGGGCTGTTTCAAGCTGAGTGCAGGGTGCTGACCCCTCCCAGGGGCACCAGCCACCGTCCCACAGGGCACACCATGGCTTTCTGGAGCTCTGCTCCTGTTTCCAGGCGCAGGATCCAGTGAAGGGTTTATCCAAACTGACTCGCCCGTCCCTGGGAACTAGCAGATAATGATCCAGCACTTCCCTGGGGATCCTTGCTGGTGTCCCCATGTAATTACTGAGTTAAAAGGGTTTAATTTGTGCCTGCATCTAATAAGAGGGCAGGAAGGGGGGATGCAGGGGGTGCATGGGCTGGGACAGCCCCAGGACTGACCCCTCGCCTGTCTCCCTCCCCAGGTGTTTCAGCGGCGTGAGGACGGCTCCGTCAACTTTTTCCGTGGCTGGGAAGCCTACAGGGACGGCTTCGGGAAGCTGACGGGAGAGCACTGGTTAGGTGTGTGGGGCTGGCAGTGGTGCAGGATGGCAAAAGGGAGGGGAGGTCCAGGGTTTTGTTGCAAAGGAAAGGACATGGAGACTGCCCCAGCCAGTGCTCCCATCCTAGGAGGAGACCAGGGACTGCACAGGGCAGGGAAGCGATGGGACTGTTTGCCCTTGGTTGTGCAGCAATAACAGAGTGAGGGCAGCGGGGTGGGAACTGCTCCCCATCCCACCCCATGCCCCCTCCCCAGGGACCCCCCAGCCACCTCATCCCTGCCGGGGTCACCACGCTCACCCCCTGTCTCCACTGCAGGGCTGAAGCGGATCCACGTGCTGACGGTGCAGGGCAGCTACGAGCTCCCGGCCGACCTGGAGGACTTCGAC